ATCTGAGGACATCAGTTTATTCTTTGAAAACTTACTTAAGAAATGCTATTGCTAGCATATCTCCAAGGGCTGAAATAGCTAAATTAAAATCTTGCAGGCTTCAGCTTACAGGTATTGTTTCAGCCTTCCTTACTTGGATACCTAATATATGATTATTCCTCCTAAATGCTGATCGACCTTATAGTTCTATAATCCTACACTTTAACTCCATTTAACATATAATAATTAATCATAACATCACACAACAAATGAACAATAAACAAAAATCATAGCTGTACTAGCCACATTAATTTCTCTCTCATGCTATTATGTTAACATAGGTACAGTATATTGATACTATCAGATGACTTCCAAGAACTCTGAGCTGATTTAAACTTTGATTATGCAATTAAATTTGTGGTGGGCACCTGCACCCCATGGAATCCAGCCTGTTATACAGGGGAAGGGTGCAACTGCATCCTCCCCATGGTCCCCCAGGTAAGCATGGGGGGCTCTGTTAGGGCAGTGGATCCACGGCTTGAGCTCAGGCCCCCACCTTCCTTCCGTAGTGGGGAGCCTACACTGGTGCTCCAGCCTCGCCTCGCCTTCCCTCCCATTCCCTGTGAGGTTAGTGTGCCAGCACAGGCTTCTCAGTTGGGGAGCTGGGGGAGAGAACGTCCTGAGCCTCGCTATGCAATCCGGCTTGCGGTGAAGAAGGTTTCCCTCCCCCCTCCCCTGGCTGGGGGAACAGCAGCACATGGGTGTGCTGCATGGAGGCTTTCCCCACTGCTGCCATTGGCTGGAATCCGACAAATGGGAGCAGTGGGAGGCTATGCCTGGTACCTTGCAGAGTGCAAAGGTAAGTAAGTGCCCCCCACCCCTCATGCCCTGACCTCACACCTTCAGCCCCTCATACACCCTCTTCTTCTGGCCAGATACTCTACCCCCAACCCGCTGATCCTCCCCTGCCAACCCGGCCATGGCTGCCACGATCCATCCAAGAAGGTAGTTTCTGTAAAACCTTTATTACTGTATATAATTTTAGTTATAATACAATCATTTTACCAATCACTGTTTCCACTCAGATTTTTCATTAACATCTCTTATGTACACTCATTGCATGGCAATTTTGAACCCCTTTATTTAAAAAACCCTGCAGTTCACATTTAAAAAAAAAAGTCTCCTCCACAGAAATTCTTGGGTACAGACCTGGAATCCTAGTGCAGTTGGCAAGCACCCACATGGCAGAGTCAATTGCAGACTTGGGGCCTCATGAAAATGACTGTTGGCTATTGAGTAATCACAAGGACACTGCTTCATCTATTGTTCCTACTTGTCTGTCAGCAGTGGAAGATAGGTTTGTACTATATATGTAAGTTCAAAGCATTGAAAATACTATTTATATAATATCCCAGGACTGTCACACTGATCATTGCTATAAACTTGATATTTACATCAGTGTTCCTTCTAAGCTGTGTGGCAGCACAGTTTCACAGGTGATTAATCAGCCCTGCCCAGTCAGTAAACTCCATGCAGAAAGCCCTGAGCCTCTAACTGGGTGGGGCTGATCAGTCACCTGGGTAGCTGTACTGCTGCTCAGCTTAGAAGGAACACTGATCCACACCTGTTTTGCTATTATTGTCTTTTCAAAACTAAATTTGCAGGCCATAATTTCATTCGTTATCTGAGACTGCACAGGTGGTGCATTAAGTGAGTGAACTGCTATCCACATGAATCTCCAAGCACAATTTAACTCCCCATCAGATACAAATCAAGACATCCACCCATATGTATCCAGCCAATCATTTGCCACATGCATAGATCCACACTACTCATAACACAGCCAGCACACGAAACAAAACCAGGAATCGTTCTGAAGCATAAAATGTCTAAGTTAGTATGAAGAGTGGAAAGTTGAACAAGCATGGCTGACAACTCTCTTTGTTCAGAATATCACCAGGTTCAATCATCACCGGATTTGTGGCCTGTTACCATCCAGTTCTCACCCACTTTTGGCTCTTACCACACACGACTTCACAAATTACACTCAAGTAACAGCATAGGCTTTCAGCTACTAATGTGACTTAATTTAGTCTGACCTTCTATAAGGAAATAAGCTTTGTTGCACATTTGTTAAAATCTTTAGAAAATAAAACATTCCTGACTTATTTTGCCATATAATTTTTCTTTGAATTCTGTCAAAAAAGAATGTACCGGGTAACACGTAACGTTCCTTTGATTACCACAGGATCGCTCTCTTTGCCATATAATTTTTCTTTGAATTCTATCAAAAAAGAATGTACTGGGTAACACATAACCTTCCTTTGATTACCACAGGATCTATTTCTTACCTTACTGCTTTGTGATGACCAGCAGAAATAAAAAGATAAACTGCAGGAAGTAGCTTTGTGTTAGGGTTGCCAACTCTGCAGAGAACTATCTTATAGTCTCCAGGAATTTAAACGTTCATCTTTAATTAAAGGTGGCCATGTGATACCTTCAGGAATACATCCAACCAAAACTGGCAGCCCTAGTGTAATGTGCACTGTTAATGGACCTCCTGGTATGATTTCATATATTTAGTCTCACCATACAGCTTATTAGAACAAAGCCTTTTAACATCTTGTCTTGTATTTTAAAACTTTTACAAAATTTTATTGTGACCTGACTTTCTTAGATCCTGACAGTAATAGTGTTTTCTTTCCCCAAAAACAAAGATTAAAGTGGTATAAATTTTAAATGTACTAAAGTATCCCTGGAAATAACTGAGTGCATGCAGCACAAATTATACTATAGTAGGGACATTGAGAAGTATCTTGTAGTTACCTCAGATATTTTCTTGTCATTCTAAAATTGAATGCCAGAACAAATGAATTTCTCTCATACTTTAAAGACACAAACAATATTCTATTTCAAATTGCATTCAAGAGGGAATATTGATATAGTTTAATTGATTTGTAATGTGCTACTGCACAAAGAGAAAAGTTTAATATGCTGTAAGGCAAAAGGCTTTGTGTACAATAGCACTTTGTTGGTCAGGGGTGTGAAAAAACACACCCCTTACCAACATAAACGTTTTTATTGGTGAAACTTATATGAACAGCTCTCTGTCTGCAGGAGAGGCTCTCCTGCCAATTTGGCTAATCCTGCTCATCGGAGGTGGTTTAATTTAGGGATGTGAATGACTAGTCAGCTATTCGATACGCAAATGGTTATAGAATAGTCGACATGCTTGTCGACTTAGACACCCCCCACCCCCT